GGGTAGCCAAATGGACTAGACATAAGTTGTAAGCTAAGACAAAGATCACCAGAGGGACAGTCCGAGCCTCCATGGCAAGGGTGGCCGGACAGGCCGCGGCGGTCGCAGTGCTGTCTGGTGGCCTTGGAGGGCTTACCGTTGATCTGTATCATGGGATTGGGACATGAAGGGGTGCATCCGTAATCATGCCCTGGGATATAGCCATGTTGATGAAACTCATTAACAAATCTCATTGTTGTGCCCGTGTTGTGTGATTGCTTCTCCTTGATAGATCGACTCGGTGGCCACGAATTAACTCTAAGACTAATCACCTGAACATATTTATTTACCTCAACAAGTATTACCTCCGAACTCACCTCAGTCCTACGTACGTCACCAAGCGCGGATTAGAAGAATTTAAGACAGTGGATTGTGTGAAGTACCTGTGTGCCATCTTCCATCTGTTGGCCCTCTAATCCTGCCACTCCTTCCATCTACCCTGTAGACCTTGCCATGTTTGTGCTATTCCCATTTTGACTAGCAAAATCATCTGAATCATGAGCTATCTACATCTTATTTTCCTTGATCATCATATTGACCATCACGATCAACTTGTACTGCAAAATAAGAAGTGTCACATAGGTGTGTGAAGAGAAAGTACATATAGCTCAGCACATATACTTTAACCAAAGTCTAGCAATTAGGGAAACAAGATCCGCCGGTGATCCACTGTGCTCTCCTTGTTGCAAATTAGGCCTGACCCATTTATAAAGTCCGTTTGGATAGACGTCACATGGCGGCTCGTATGACCGGCGGTACGAGCGGCCTCGATCGTATTGAGCGCCACCTTTTGCTTTGTTTTCATTCGTGTCCCCCCAATTAACTTGGCTCAGTTCCCACATGTGGTATTTCCATGTATATGATGATCTTCTTTCTTCTGTTGATCCATTTCCAGTCGAACACACTTAACAAAAGGATTTGACAATTTCTTGTATTCATTAGTCATTAGTAACAATATTAGAGTGTTTATTTTGGAAAACCTAAAATTATCTTGTTTAAAAAATGATGTGATGAGTGTAGAAATATCACCCATCAGTTGCTAGTTTCCGCATACTTGGGATTGTAAACTTGTTACCTTCTATTCGCAGTCAAGTTCAATTTTCAATGATCAAGTATTCATGATGCCCGTCAAAAACGACGCTTTTGTGGTATATGCGCACATCATGAGTTTATTAGGTTTAAATCTATCATGGCAATCCTATATTTTTTTTCATGCTTACAAATGTCCTTCGAGTTCTCTAAATTTGCATGTAGTATATATCAAAACATGCCATGTGTTTGAATTTTAAGTAGAATATTTTGGTGCCTCTCATGGCGTTGTCATGATCTTTAGCTTGTGCTTACATCTCAAATATGACAATACAACTCACATTTTTTTTCAAAATAATAATATCTCATTAGTTTCTAAGTATGTAATCTAAGATATAGTATTTCAACTTATACACTCATACTCTAGAACTTTCTATAAATCTGCTTACAAAATAATACATGTAAAGCAACTACTAAATTATTAGATAGACTTTACGCCTTAGAAATCTCTACCATAATATATAGATATTGAAATATACATGAACACACGCACATACACACAAATATATATGTATATACTATATAATATATCCTAATGCCAAAAATTAATTAAAAACTTTATTAAAACAACAAATAGTTGAAATTGAGCAAAGCCAAAACACTTTGTGATGTACATTTCAGATATAAAATATAAAATCAATAATTATATTAAGAAACATTATTATTTGTTAACTGTACCGGCTAAGTAATAGAATATTATAATTAATAATCATATTATGTGATACAAATCTTTTTAAAAGTACAAAAGTTTAATATAAAAATATTTACCCAAATTTTCCATTGAAATAATAGTGGTTTGAAATTGTGTAGGACAAAATGAATTAGAGATATTGATTAGTTTTATAATAAAGTAAATTAGTGTGAAGAACACAATTAATTGAATTAATAAAGAAAAGTGATATCACACATGTCATGTCAAACCCAGGATTGGGCGTTTAATTCATGATTTTTTCGGTGGTGAATTCATTGCCGAGAAGTACGCATCCACGTTAGTTTTGGCATTTATCGTAGAATATAATAAAGTTGCTCGTAATCTTCTATCTTGATGGGGAACTTACACTTCTCTGCCCTTTAATATATATCATTGGCCTAGAGATATCTGGGAAGATGGAAAAGTCTGCAAAGTGAATTAAATATTTTAATAATTTATATAAGTTAACCCTTTCTGTGACAGTTCTTCACATTCGTATATTTTTGCTCATACCGAACTTGCTAAAATTAGTTACTTTGAATTTTATGCTCAGTGTAGCCAAAGATGGTAGGGGCATAGTATAATAATTAATCTATTTGTTGTATTAGGTATAGTCACGTATTAGTCTAAAGTCCTAATAATAGTCAGTTTTGTTTTAACATAGGTAAACCGGACTCGTTCGGGTACGAGTCGGGGTCTCAGTCATGTTGGCTGCCAGTGCGGCAGCGCGTTGGACGTGGCCAGTCCATGTGTACCTTTATATAGTAAAAAGGAAAAAGTAATAGAAAACATAGGTACAACACGCACCTGTTGTCATGAATCCAATCAGTCATTCCATTGGCCAAGTTTGCGTGAGTTCCGCCGAGTCGTTCCGTCTTGCCGAGACCAATCGATCCATATAAGGCCAGCCTCGGGTTCGCGTCTATGTATGTCTACGGCGATACTTGTGGAGGACTCTAATCTCTTAACCGAGGAGCACTCGTTGCTAAAGCGTGGTTAAGTGGTGCAGACAGCACACTGGTGGTTTATGCATGTAGTTGGTCAGTCATGAAGCTTACATGCTTCAGCGACTTGCAACATCTCTAACAGATCCCGCAAATCGCTGTCCTGGAAAAAATACAGGACGCCAAGCACGCTACAAGAATAGATCCCACAAAGCTATCCTGCAAATTTAAACAAACTACTTGGCACTAGAAACATGTCGCCGGAGTTCACTCAAGCGTAGCATAGGGGAGTTCATCATCACGCACATAGCATAAGGGAGTTTTTAGTACAAACCATAATTAAACTTAATCGAAATTTGAAAACGCATAGCTTAGATCTACTCGTCGGGAGCCGTGGTCGCTGTCATGGCTAGGCGGAGAGTGTTGTAGATCAGCGTGGAACGGAGAGTGGCCTGCAGCTGGAACTCCTCAAGGAGCGCCTGCACACCCGCGACCGCAACTACATCTCCGGCTACGACGGCCTCCTTCGCGTGGAACCAAGCAAGCTCTGCCTCCGCATGGTGCTGCAACGCCGGATCGAAGATGTCGCCGAGGCGACGGAAGTTAGCCCAAGCCGGAGCGCTGGCGCCGTGGGACTTGGCGCCGTGCTTGCGCGCCGCCTCCCTCTGCCTGTCTGACACGGGAGGGCGGAGACTGGAGCCGCATGCCTCGCCGTCGTTCCTACGCTTGCGGGTGACGAACCCACTTCGGCACCAGAAGCCCCCGTGGTCGCCGAAACCCCTGCCACCGCCATGTCCTGCACCTGCCGTCGCCATCGCTGCGAAGATCCGCTCGAGTAAACTGCGGCAAAACGCTGCCAGAGGGGGAGGATTTGCGGCGGAGATGGAAAGGGAAGAAAGGGGACACATACCCTAAATCGGTCGGGCGCCGGCATATATACCAGATGTGAGGGCGGTTTACGGGCCTCCCGTAAATTTTTTTACCGGCCGGGCCGTTTTTGCAGGATCTGCTTAGGCCATATTTTTGGGTTGTCCCGTAAATCGGCCAGAAAAGCGTACTTCACCGGGCGTTTAAGGGATCTGCTAGAGATGTTGTTAACATGTACTTCCTCTGCTCTGTTTTCTCAACTCTGCTTTGTCTGTAGGCTGTAGTTAACTTCCTCTGCTTTTTCTCTGTTGTTTGAGCTCTGTTGCCACCTCACGCTAGTGGAGGCTGCCATCTATGCTCTATTCCTTTTTGTTAGCAAGGAGAATAGACACTAGATGCATATATCGATCGAAATGACGGCAGCTAGATGTCTCAAACTCTTCGGTGCACTACTTGATGGCAACACCACAAAATTATATATATCCACTCAGACTCTTCGGCGCAATAACAAATTAGTTACCATGTAATTAAACAAAGCACTGATGAAATTATAGCATTTCTTGTTCAGATTGAGCTCATTTATATATGGTTCATCAATCAATCACACACACATAATCTTTTTATTAACCAACACGATTAAGCCAGCCATCCAGCTTGACCGATCGTGAACACCACGTACACCAAGCTGGAGCTGGACAGACCAAGCAAGCAGTCCAGTGCTTTATTCCTTGCTTGACAATCACACACCAAGCAAGCAGACCAAGCAAGCTGGAGCTGGACACGATTAAGCTCCTTGCTTGACAATCACACACCAACCCAATCCAATCCAATCCAATCAAGCATATACCCAGATCAAGTATATGTAGCTTGGTGAAGAAAGCACACCACTGCTTTATTCCTCCATGCTCGCGCAGGTACGTGGCGACACCCTCACCACGCGACAGGCAATGGGAAACACACTTCGGAGATTGAGTTCTCATGGCTTGACTGTAACACTAATAATGGACTAATGCATGGTCCATGTAAGCCGGTCGACCTCCCTTTGCATCATCCAGATTACCTAGGGAATGAAAAATGAAATAAAAAAAATAGACATTAGTCACGTTGTGCATCAATGACACTTGATCAATGTACCCATGCATAGAACAAACTTATAAAAGAAAAAATAAAACCATTTTGAACCAACCGTACCTCAAAACGGAGACCCTCGGGAGGATCTTCTTGTAGTGAGCCGAGTGGCGTGTTTCGAAGAGTGACGGCTCATGGTTGGCCTTGGAGCCGTCCCACTCGAGCCTATCCCACCAGTCCTTCTCGCAGTCCAGTACCGGCTTGGGACCTTCACGTGACACGGCTGGTAGCCGTCTCAGGCCCTAGCAGTCCCTGAGGCTGACCGTCTCCAACGCTGGCGCAAACAGTCTAACCTCGCATATTTTCTCTAGCTTGTGGAGATGATATAGCTTGATGTGCCTCAGCTTCTTGAATGTGACACCACATGCTATACGGCGATGGTTTTGATATAGTGGGAAAATATGTTGGATGTTACGACAGTATGCAATCTGAATTGTCTCCAAGTTTGGCAAGGTGGAGGAAATGGGGAGCACGAACGCCAGCCTACGACAGTTGTACAAGTATATGTGTTGTAGCCCACAGTGATGTCCAATGTGTCTACTCCAGATGCAATGGGCCATAAGGAGATCAGATGCAGAAAATATCCTTATTGAGTTAAAGGTATTAATTCCAACCGAACGAGAGAAGACATTGTGCATCTTAGGGCATCTCTCAACATGACACCATTCTAGACTGTTCCAATGTAGTGATAACTCTGGAATGATAGTTGTGACCGAGACATTGTCATGCACATGCAACGATTGCACTTTATCCCCTATGGAGGAACCATGCAAGAACATTACATGGTCATTCATACTCTCTAAATGGTGGCTTTCTTCACCAATCTCAATGTGAACATCCAAAGGATAAAGTTGACAATGATCCCACACCAAGGACGAGCACATGCCAATATCTTTGTTAACGACAATATCATTGTAAGGCAAGAAGGGCCATGTTGGAACCGGACCTTCTTGACTACGCCCAACGTGTTCAATACTTTTGGTGATGTTGACTTGGTTGTGGATTTTAGAAGCGATATGGACATGCACTTTGGAGCCATGCATAGCACAAAGACCCTTTATTATGGACCAAATGAACCTTCCATCTGTAAAAGCCATAATTGCCTGAATGCCAGAGGAATTTTGTTCTCTGCAGTAGGTCGTTGACCCAGTCTTCCCCCGAGTGTCTACATGCAGAGCTTCCAATGGAGGGTTTTTTCCGTCGCAGAGTAGGCTACAGAGCTGTTCACAACCTAACAGGAATAGCTTCTTGAGTTGTGCAACATCCATTGCATTGAGGTCAAGTGTTTTAATAGATGTGCCAGAGAGGTCCAACTCCTCAAGGTTGGGCAATGCACGCAAGAACATGTGTTGCAATTGAGTAAAACCCTTCAGAGATATCCTTCTCATCATTGCTTCTTGAACTAAAGCAGTGCGAGACTTGGGACGTTGTTCCGCCTTTGGAAGTTGTATGTGATGTGTCCACTTCTTTGCTGGACCATAACCATCGAAGCTAAAACTCTCGAGCAGTGGAGGGGCTCCTTCGAGCTCAACATGCCCCAAGCTGGAACACCCATCAAGAACAAGCATCTTCAAGCACCATGTTGATGACATTGTCGGCATTGATTTCATATGAATGTTACCTGACAAGTCATGGAGCTCCAGATTAATCATATCAACAGAAGGGCAGGTGTCCACCGTGATCACATCTAAGGATTCAGTTAACCGAAGCTTCTGAAGGTTCTGTAGACTTCTCCATGCATGACTTACTATCCTCCATGAGACACCCTTGGTATTTACCTCCCTGAGATTGGTCATCAGCTCTATCATCTCTTCCAACAAGAGAAAACAAGTGAAGCGTACATCAAGCACCGACAGATTTGGGAAACATGGCCCTCCAACCTGCTCCCCTCCAGTGTTTGTGCAATGGTCAAGCCAAAGGAATCTCAGGTTGCGACAACATTGAAAAGGAGGGGATGCAAAATCGAAGCTGCAATTGCAAAGTTTTAGCACACGGAGGTTGCTAGAATGTTGAAATAAATCATTTGGTACTGTCAGCTGACCATCTCCCCAAAATGTTAGAAAATATGATGATGCATTGACAGGAACAACTAAGATATCTTGCGCTAATTGGTTGCAGGAGATTGAAATCCAACTTTCATATCGTTCTCTATGTCCATCCAAATAGCGTGCTAATATTTTGTCTCCATAGTAACTATAGCACATCCGTATCACTCCATACAATGCACTGCCAACATCGCAAGCTTTGTCCCCTTGAAGGATGCCATCACATATCCAGCAGTTGCACGCATGAGTATCCCAACCATAGTCAGCACTGATAGACTTTCCATGTAGTTGCTCGGTCAAAAACAGTGAGTACATGAAGCAATCCAAAACTGTTGCTGGGTTGACGTCATACATGCCGATATGACCAATGACTTCAGCAGCTTCTTCATGCAATGAACGATGCAGAAGTTGACTCGGAAGTTCACTGTACATCTGATACATGGGATCCAAATAAATCACTCTAGAGTAAGCAGAGATGGTTTTTAACTTTATTTTTTCCTCTGTGAGCTTAAATCTTCCATAACTGCTCCATAACAGTTTACCTGAAGCATAGGTTCCAAATTCAGGATTGGGAATGCCACATGCTGCCAAATCAATGTCTTCTTCTCCCCCATAATGAAAAATCATCAAAAATCTTTCATTTGCTAGAGATAAATAGATCTCACTGCTGATGCTTGGTATCTCTACTCTAGAGCTGACGTCTACCCCTCTAAAGTCATCATCATTGTCCTGCTTATCAAATATGGGCATTACATGGCCAAGATGTAACTCCTCCGCGATTGCCCTCTGCGTAGTTCTTCTATTCTTCCAAAAAGAGCAGTCTACATGGATAACTTTTTCAATATGCTTTCTCATGTCAGGATCACTTCTTTCCGATTTCACGAGTTCAGCTGTGGCTCTAAGAACAGCAGAGGCTCCAACACCACAGGCCCAGCCGCCAAAGAAGATTGATTTTACTCTTCCATCGTAATATGGCCCTGGGTACATCAGACGATCAAGCAGCTTTCTGGGGGCATCATCAAAACCGTGTACACTCTGTAGTAATTGAACAATTGTTAGTTATGACTTGTACGGTACATGTATCACTACCATAGTTTCAATAGCTACAATTTTTAATATGAATAAATTGGGACGACGAATGATGCAAAGTTATTTATAAGGTCAGCAAGTGCACCTAGTCTGAAAGTTGATATTTACTGTAGAATGGAAGTAATCTGTAAGTGCACAAAATAACTTTTCATTAGAAAATACATACACTCGCTTGGTATCTTGTGGGTTGCTGGAGAGTGGACTGTATATGTATGTGTAGCTTAGAAATAAAGAAAACAGAAAGAAATAAACAGAGCAGGTGCACTTAATTTGTAATTCTGGATGTTGCCACTGTGCTAACAAGATCATGTTTTGAACAAACATATAAAAATAACAAGATCATGTTTTGAACAAACAACTATAAGATAGGTTAGCAAGGAGAGGAGATCAAGGTGCTAACCAATGGTTCTATTTGAGGATCCATACAGAAGTAGTAATTAACTAGCAATATTTCCAGAGGCAATAGAAAACCATGACGGCCACACAAAAGTCGGTGATCTGACACTGCAAAGACATAAGTAATTAAGCTATATTTCAGAATTTCTGGCCATATATGTACGAGATGCAGTTAGCAGCTGCAGTATATACCTCTAGCAGGAGAGTCAAGGCAAGTAGATCTAGCCGACGAGAAGGAAAGGGAGCAAATAATCCAAGAAATAAATGTATCCAGCTCCAGATGAATATATGATGTCCCCTCGCTTGAAATCCAAGATGAAAACCATGGCATATATATCTAACCCATCGCGTGCAGTTCACATTAACACTCCGTTTCCAGCGACAAATTAATGGTGTTGATCTGACACTGCGCACAAAAAACAGAAGCAGCTTAATTACACATGCTTGTCTCCTATACATATCAGCATATGCATTGAGAGAAGTCAGAAAAAGATGTGTCCCTCACCTGATAGATCCTCCTTGCTCGATCGAAATCGAAAGATGATTTCACTCACTCCGGCCGGTGGCAGCAGAGCTCAGCTCTCAAGAAAGGGAAGCAAATGTTATGGTAGATAGATGGGTGCAATGGGCAATGATGCTGCTGCATCGCTTTGCTTTCTCTACAAAAAGCAAAGCATTCTCTTTCTCTCCATGGTTCCTTGCTTCCACATATTAGCCATGCACCTTGTCAGCCTTTTTTTTTGCTTTTTCTTTGCTTCTTTCGACAATGGGTGGACTTTATTGCGTCAAAATGGAGCATCAAGAGAATACAAACACAATGAGCACACACCCGATCTCTGCATAGTTAGAATGCACACAGCTAAACATATGCACACAAAAAACACGCCAGCAAATAGCAAAGCCATATAAGGCCAAAGCTATGCGTAGGCGAGGAAAAAAAACCACAGCAATCAGATCCAAGATCGGCAAACTTTAGCAATTATCATATCCGCACCAATCATATCATGACAACACACAGACAACAAGATTCTTCAACAGCAACATCTTCAGTAACGAAGCGACCCTCAAGACGTTCTATCCAAACCGTTCTTTGGTGTATAATATCTCGAACAAAATTTATGGACTGTCTCAAACTACTTGATGAATTTTGAATGACATAATAGGGTGGGTACCTTCTGTTCTCGAGTAACCCTCGGAGTTTGTTGATTAGCTGCCTTTCATCCAACTCCAAGCACTTATTCCCATCAATTTCATTGAGTATGTCATTGAGAATTTTCTTGACGCTAGGGTGCTGTCCTACCGGAACGAAAGCGCTGCAATCAAACTGCGCTTGGCAATTATCATACAATGCTTTTGCAAGAGTTGTCTTGCCAAGGCCTCCGAATCCAAAAACAGAGAGTATCTTGAGTTGCTTGGATAGATCACCATCCCTGTCACTCAGCTTCTCGGTTAGCTCATTCAATGAATCATCAATGCCAACGAGCTCTTTCCGGTCCTTGTACAGAGCCGATAGGCGAGGGTCAACCATGATTAGGCCAGTTGGATTAGGAACCATATCTTTGACCTTGTACCGGTCACGCCGGGCAGCCACCTCATGGACGCTGGCCTTGATACCTTTGATCTCTTTTCCGATGGCATGCCGTGCCTTGCCCTTGGTGAACAAGTCACACATCTTCTTCACGAGCTGTTTGAGCTTGTGCGGCATGTCGTCAAGCTCAGGGCCCTCAACACGTACCAAGAACTTGTCGATGGTATCCTCCATTATGTATGAAAGATCTCTGACCTCGCTTGCCCAGAGCTTGACTTGCTCGTCGAGCTGGTCCCGTGGCACGTCCCCGACCTTGCGGAGGGCAGCGTGCATGCTCCTCAGCTCTATTTGAAGATACTGGACGTCTTCCTTGATGCCCTTCTGCAGGTCGTACTCCTCCTTGAGGAGTTCACCGAGCTTGAGGAGAAGGCTGCCCATGGCACCTGTTGCGTGGTCCATTGCTCACTCTGAGCAGCTGGGTTTTCGGGTGCAATAATGCTTCCTTTCCTTTTGTGATGAGGGGATGAGTGGCTAGCTAGAGTCTTTATAGATAGGATATTACAGACTACAGATGGATAAGCCAGCTACTCGAATTTATGTGGACATCTGTTGCGTGGTCAATAATGCTTCCTTCCCTTTTGTGATATAAGGGAATGAGTGTGGGCAGCCTGTGGATGGATAACTACTCGAATTTATGGATGGACAGGATAGTACAGGTTGCCCACAAATATTTAGGAACGGAGGGAGTAGTAAGCAACATACAGATACATGATCCTGTAACTGAATCAAGGGCCACAGTAAATGTTCTCTGAAATTCAGACATGTCAGAGTCTTGACCAGGACCAAACATACATTCTGTCCAACAACATAGTACATTACATTGTGAACTCTGCAACGGCAGAAGGCCCACCGAATTTACATGCATGAGAATAAACTCATGTGTTATTAGAAGCAAAAGCACATAGAGGAGGAACTTGTTGGAAGCACTTCATCATATTTATAAGACAGAGTCCATAGCTCTAGCAGTGTGTGTCTGCTACACCCCGCTGCAACACCTGAGGATCCAATCCAACCCACCGTTAGAAACTGATAACACAATGTATATTACAGGTTCCTAATAGTGCAAAATAAAGCCACTAGCCCAACAACCATCAAATATCTAACATCTCCAGTAATCTTCAGAAATTGAACCAAACAACCCATTAGAAGTAACATGAAAAAAAAGTGTGCACTTAGTCACATTACCCTATTTTAGAAACAGGGTGCAAAAGGAAAACGTGGTCCACATTTTCTGTAGCACTACAAAACATAGTTTGGGTCTACTTCTACCAAGGGGAACATAATTGTTAGTACATCTAGTTAAAGTAGCTAAACTTCACAGCTCAACTATGTAGTACATCATTAAATGAAATAGGACCGTATCACTTGTCACTCGAATAGATATATTTAACTCAAGAGGAATTTTACCATACGCTGGAACCAAAACTACATCTGTGCATACACACTAAAAAAAGGATTTTTTTTAACACAGTATAGACGCAAGCGCTCGTATACACGCGCATACACTCACCTCTATGAATGCACACACGCACACCCTACCCCTATGAGCACCTCCGAAATACTCAGCCGGCATATCATCTTGAAATTTACGAAATCACCGTAGGCACCTCGTCATCGACCGGAACGTCTCTCCCATTGAATGAGCATCGTCAAAAATCCTGAAATAAATCCAGGAATAAATGCGAGCACCAGGACTTGAACCCTGATGGGCTGGGAATAGCGCAAGTCGGTTCACACAGTAAGAAAAGGATTTGCTCACTAATGGAATCCTGTGGTACGCCGAGTGCCACGGACACTCGGCAAAGGGCCGAAAACCGCCGGCAAAGCCTTTGCCAAGTGTCACCCTCGGCAAAAGCCACCTGGCGTACACCTCTTCGGCAAATAGGAGTTTGCCGAGTGCCAGAACACGGGCACTCGGCAAAGACTTTGCCGAGAGTCAAACAGTACGACTCAGCAAAATAAAGTAGCTAATGGATAGCAGACGGTGATGACGGTTTCTGACACGTGGGACCAGGGGGGAGCAGGCCGAGTGCCATCTTTGCCGAGATCCGCGCTCGGCAAAGACAGCCAATAGGTGGCTGACACGTGTCAGCTCCTGAAACGTGGGACCATGGTGAGCAGGCCGAGGGCCATCTTTGCCGAGAGCCACGCTCGGCAAAGACAGCCAGTAGGTGGCTGACACGTGTCAGCTCCTGACACGTGGGACCAGGCGAACAGGCCGAGTGTCATCTTTGCCGAGAGCCGCGCTCGGCAAAGGCACCCAATAGGAGGATGACACGTGTCAGCTCCTGACACGTGGGACCAGGCGAACAGGCCGAGTGCCGTCTTTGCCGAGAGCCACGCTCGGCAAAAACATCCAATTGGTGGCTGACACGTGTCAGCTCCTGACACGTGGGACCAGGGGGAGCAGGCCGAGGGCCATCTTTGCCGAGAGCCACGCTCGGCAAAGACAGCCAATAGGTGGCTAACACGTGTCAGCTCCTGACACGTGGGGCCAGGCCGACTGGCCGAGGGCCATCTTTGCCGAGCGCCACTCTCGGCAAAGAGAGCCAACTTTGCCGAGCGCCCCTGTCGGCAAACGCTATGTTTGCCGAGTGTGGATCCCGCCAAACTCAGCCAATAGGGGAGGGCCACGTCACTTCTCCTAAAAGCCATGAAAATATTTTGCCGAGAGCCACCGTCGGCAATTCTTTTTCCTTTACCGAGAGCCCTCTCGGTAAAGTTGCCAGGAGGGCTACAGGTTATTATCCTTTACCGAGAGGCCTCTCGGTAAAGTTGCCAGGAGGGCTACATGTTAGTATCCTTTACCGAGAGCCCTCTCGGTAAAGGGTGCGTTCTGGTCCAGTTTCACAGTCATTGCCGAGAGCAGCCCTCGGCAATGGTGTGCCCAGGAGCTTTTTTCCCTGTTTCTGTTTCTTTCCTGCAGCGAAACATATACAGCAGCAGCATATAGTTCTATCACACACAGAACATGTCACATATAGGCATCACTGAACAAAAGAAGCAATGATTGATTCTGAAAAACATTCCACATAAAAGCAATAGTGCATCAAAGCAATAGACCAGAAGTTTACAAGTCTCAAGATGCAAGAGTTCTCAACATACAAGGAACAGTTTCAAACATAACATAAAGTTCACGCGATTTTGGAGATCGGAGTGATAACATCGACATTAGAAGGCATCATTCCATTTGCCGCCCCAACTCCATCAACCGGGGTGATAACATCAACATTAGAAGGCATCATTCCCTTTGCTGCCCCAACTCCACAAACTTGAGGTGGAACTACCGGAACATTGTTCGACCCTTGTGATGGGTTGAGCTGTGGTGGATTGACCCAATAGTGAGATGAATGCATATGGTAATGCCGAAAATGGTGATAGAAATAGTTTGAACAAAACTCACAATGTTCCACTCTGGCGTCGGTGGCATCTCTAGCACTGGTTGGCCTTGCATGGAATAAAGATTGGCCACCATATGTTGTAAAGACTTCACTAGATCATCTTGTGCCTTCAGCTTGGCCCGGTTTTCATCTCGTTCTTTCTCGGTGTCAATCAGTCGAGTCTACAATACGGCAATGCAAATGTCATTCATGTTGAAATGCAAATATCCTCAATAATGAAGAAGGATCAATGAAGAAGGACCATGAAGGATCAATGAAGAAGCACTGACCTGAATATCCTCAATAATGCTCACGGAATGTGGTACGTGACGCTCTACGGTAGGAGTAGAGCCCGTACTCATAGCACGGAGCGTGTTGACTCTCGGAAGGGAGGAGGTTATGATAGAATCGAGGTGAACCGCCATCCAGCCATTCGGTCTACCGCCTGCCGCGGCAATGGCCACAAGAGGGTCAAACGGTAGCACGTGAGGATCAGCGTCAGGCCCGTATGTCTCCTTCAATTTTTTGGTGTAGTTCTCTCCATCTGACCGGGCTTTAGAGTTGATCCAGTCCATCTCTGGGTGGAGAGGGTCCTTGTCCTTGTCGTCTTTGGTACGTTTGATTGTCCATGCCTCGAAGTAAGTGATATCCTTGCCAGTGTCTTCTTTCTACAAAAGAAAGTGATCCAAACAATCAAGGGAATGCTCACAAATGAAAGAGAACATGATGAAAAGAAAAGGATGTGGTTGCCTACATATTTTGAGACGACACCTGGGATTGTGAGGTTGCCTTGACGGTGTCGTCGAGCCCCCATCAACTTACGCCGTTCAAATATTACTTTGTGTTCATCCTGCCACCCTGGATCTGTCCACCGTTCGACGATCTTCTCCCAGCACGGACGTTTGTCAGCGCACCACCGAGGAATCACCTGTAGATTAAACAAATACATCTTAGTAAGGATTCTAATTTTGCCGTAGTGTAGGAAATAGCAAGCATCCATCGTCACTTGCCTTGAAGTAATTGTCCCGTGAAAGATGCGTCCCTCGAGCCTCCTGTTTGGAAATCCTATGGTTGAGATAGTCCACGTGATACTTGACCACTAACCGGACGCGCTCCTCATAGTGCATGTCGTGGACTAGTTTCTTGGCAATATTCTCAACCACCAAATTTGCATGATTCTTCTGACCCTCAACGCATGTATAGAAATCCTACAAACATGCATACATGTGAGAAGGGTTAAATCATGACTATGGCAAATTTAAGCCTTTTGGTATTGACATTTAGGTGTTTGAAAGGACTTACCCAGAAATCGTTGACCAATCGCATGGCTCTGTTATCAAAAACCCTCTGACGCATATCCAGGAAATCCGGTGCAAGTTTGTAGTGATCCCATGACCAAGCTGGCTCAATGATACCGTTCGGCAAAGTGACCAGTCCAGGATAATTTAACCTACAAAGACCCCCAATGATGCCACTCGGCGACCGTGGCAGACGCCTCTCACCACCTTTTACTAAGCTTCTGCATTTCGAAGAGTGAAGTCATATTATATGTGAGGAAATGACAAAAGGTACAATTTATATGGGATGAGTCGAGATAACCACTTACTTCTCTCCCATTGGTTTAATCAATACGTCTCTATGCACATATGGACGTCTTGGAAGCTTTGAAGTACCACGTAGCCACACTTTCCCTCTGGAAGTAGTGCTGATAGTCGAACCGCTCGGTTGCGAACCGCTCATCTCGTGGTGCTCTGCCACCCGTTAGGGTCCATTCCCACCCTCAGAAACCTGACGAACAACCAGTCTCCTCTCGGCGGTGGCGTCCTCCACCACCTCCTCCTCCTCATCCTCCAACACCTCCTCCGCAAAATCCTCCTCGTCCTCCTCCTCACATGCCTCATCCCCATCCTCTGTTTCCTCCTCCTGAGCACGGTGAAGCACTGCATCAGAGGGTCGAGGAGAAGAAAGAGGTGCTCTACTCCGGGCTGCTTTACGTACTCCTCGTCCGCCTCCTCCTCC